GTACTGTTTTTATCAATAAATCTCAGCAACAAAGGAAATACACCCATGTGTGTTGATTTCTCCCTAAGATGGCAAACAGAAACACAAGTTTCCTTGTGGGTTAGGGTTAGGGTAACCCAAACCAACCCTAACCCTGCCCCTAGTGGCTCAGCACCACCTTATTTACATAACAAAAGCAGAAGTTCACAGTTCAGTTCAGGATATTAGCTAAAAGCCTACCAGCCATTTGGCTAAACTAAACAGACTAAACACCCCGAGGCTGCTTTTATTGTTGTTATTGTTGATTTCACCAACATGTCTCCAGCCACACCAGAGGGGACAAGACTTTAGACCATGTTTATTCCAACCTGGCTGGAGCCTACAAAGCCACACACCTCCCCCACATTGGACAATTGGACCATCTCTCCCTGTTCCTCACACCAAACACAGACTGGAATACATTCACCCACACGGACCTGGACCAGTATGCCTCATCTGTACTGGATTACATCTCCAAAATGACAGACAGTGTCACCACCCAGAAACAGATCGCCATGTACCCCAACCAGAAGCCTTGGATGAACCGGGATGTTCGTGTCCTCCTGAAGGCCCGCAACACCGCCTTCAGGTCAGGAGATGCACACGCCTACAGTACAGCCAGGGCTAAGCTAAAGAGTGGTATCAAAAAAACCAAACACCATTACAAAAAGAAGGTAGAAGAACACTTCTCCAACTCCAACCCCTGATGCATGCGGCAAGGACTCCAGACCATTACAGACTACAGAACCATCAAACCCTCCCCCACATCCTCTGATGTCTCCTTCCTCAACAAGCTCAACAACTCTTATGCTCATTTTGAGCGAGGGAATCCAACAACTACAACCAAAGCAGACGTGACGCCGGACCACCAACCACTGACTCTCTCCCCCACCGATGTAGGAGCGGTGCTGAGCAGGATTAATGTCCACAAGGCTGCAGGTACTGATGGCATCCCCGGGCGTGTTCTCAGAGCGTGTTCTGGAGAGCTTGCAGGAGTGCTCACAGACATATTCAACCTGTCCTTGGCCCACGCTGTGGTACCGGCCTGTTTCAAATCCACCTCCATCGTCCCGATAACCCCAAAAATCCAACCCATCAAGCCTCAACGACAACCGCCCAGTAGCCCTCACCCCCATCATCACAAAGTGCTTAAAGCAGCTGGTCCTAGCTGGATGGATGCAGAAAATGCAGTCTCCATTGTGCTGCACTCTGTCCTCTCACACCTGGACAACAACAACACCTACGCCAGAATGCTGTTTATAGACTTCAGTTCAGCGTTCAATACAATCCTCCCCTCACAACTCATCAGGAAACTGAGAGACCTGGGCATCAGTTCCCTCATGTGTAAATGGTTACTGGACTTCCTGACCAACCGGCCCCAACATGTCCGTCTGGATAACCACTGCTCATCTACAATCACAATGAACACCGGTGTACCACAAGGCTGTGTGATGAGCCCTTTCCTCTACTTCCTCTTCACTCACGACTGCAGACCTGCCGATGGTTCCAACACCATCATTAAGTTTGCAGATGACACCACGGTGATTGGCCTCATCAATGACAACGATGAGGCCGCCTACAGGGAGGAGGTGGATCGTCTGGCTAAGTGGCACGACACAAACAACCTGCTGTTCAACACCGAGAAGACTAAGGAGCTCATCGTAGACTACAAGAGGAATGCTGACCCACATCCACCTATCTACATTAAAGGGATGGCTGTCGAGTGTGTGAGCAGCTTCAAGTTCCTAGGTGTCTACATCTCCGAGGATCTCATCTGGACGACCAACTGCTCCATGCTGGTCAAGAAGGCTCACCAGTGCCTCTTCTTCCCGAAGACTCGGAAGAAGAGGCACTTATATCCTGTTCATAGCCTGTACATAGCTTGTACATCCACTACAGCCTGTACATAGTTATAGTTATAGCATATTCATAACATACTTTCATACCGTGTACATTGTAACATACCCATAATAGACCCATATGCCTTTCCGTAATCCACCTGCCAGTGTGTTGCATCTGCTGGCCTCCACCACTTGCTAATGTTACTCAATCTGTGGAAGCTCCGCAATAGCCACCACCAAACAACTGAGTTATTTTTACACATCTCCCAGCATCTGGCCAATTCACCACCTTTCAGTGTTTATACCGTTACAAAAAAAAACAAACAAACAAAAAAAAAAACATCGGCCCATAAAAACGAAAAATCACCATCGGCCCACCGGGCAAATGCCCAATGGCCAGTCCAGCTATGTACATACTTATGTGAAAGGTTAAGAAATAATTTAAAAATAATGTACAATGGGGATAAGAAGAACAAAAACTTACTTCTCAGGTTTATCCTGCTGGAATGGCTGATAATCAAGCTGATGATGTAAAAAAAATAATCAAACATAACATGATGAATTTGTTTGGCCTGTGTACATGTAGTTTTATAACAGAGTGATGTAGGGACATCTTTTAATATCAACAGTATATAAGTGATCAGTCTTACCTCAGTTACTCTGGTATCATCGAACTGATACCATCTGTCTCCGTCTTCCTCCTGGATCTTGATTGTTGTGGTGTAATGCCCACTTCTCAGATCCCCAAAATGATCCACAACTGCGTACAGTTCATATGTCTGACTCTGACCACCAAAGGAAAAATGGCAAACATCAGAATTGACTGAAGAAAATATAATGGATTATGATAAAATACTAAAATATTCTGTACATATACCTCTGGTATCTTCAGGGTGTAGGAAACCTCCACAGGACAGTTGATTTTGACATATGACATGCATTTATTGCTGAAGTCAAACCTCTTCAGCAGCAGCCACAAAACATCTGGATGATGCTCTATTAAATCTGTCTGAATGAAAAACATTCATTTCAGTTCAGTTTTATTTATACAGCACCAAATCACAACAGCAGTTGCCTGCAGGTGCTTTTTTTATTTCTCAACATGTGTTAATATGTTTTTGTAATTGTATTTAAAGAATCATACCCCCACCCCCCCCAAAAAAAAAAAAATAAATAAATAAATAAATAAAAATTCTCACCATAGTAGTATCAACTTTGTCATCACACTTCTCACAGTACAGCTGATTTTCTCCACAGAAATCTGAAGATTTAAAAAACTCTTCAATGCCCTTCACCTGAAAAATACACTCATGTTATTTAAAATCAGATCAAACAAAGAGGTGCTGACCAGGGAAGTGAAGTGAAGAATGCAAGGGAATTTCAACGTGACCTTCTAACTTCATCAATTCAGACTCAAAGGTTAAGATCTATTGTTTAATAGAAAAGTGAAAAAAATCCAGACCAGTGAACATATACACAGTTTCTCATGTTAGTATTCATTTTGACTACAAAGAAGGAGATTGTCAGGGCTCTGTGTGCGGGCAGGCGGAGAGGAGGATCCAAACGCAGGACTCAGACACTAACTTGAAACTCAAAAACCTCAGCTTTATTGCTGGTACGAAAACAAAACATGAAGTGAACACTGAATACGGAGAACAGAAACACACAGGCATAATCTGATGGTACGACGCGACACCGAGCATGGGAAAACACAGGGCTTAAATGCACAGGGTAGTAATGAGGGAATGGGCAACAGGAGGGAGACACAGCTGGGAGAGATCAGGGCTAACGAGACAGGGGGAACAAAGCTGCACACACTAACCTAAGACAAAGACTTTCATAATAAAACAGGAAACATGAAACACTACTCAAAGACACGGACTCGACACAGAAAATAATACATGAAACTCAAACAATAAACATCATCACAACAAGAGAATGAGAAAACAATCCAAAACACCAAGATAACTGAAACACAAAGTACCAGAGAAAGATAAAGAATAATCCATGATGCAAAAGTAAACCAAAACACAATAAACTCAAATTACTGGGTCCAACGGACCCAGAACCGTGACAGAGATGATTTACATCATTTTTACCCAAACCAGATACCCGATACAAAATTGGCACAGCAGGTTTTTTTTGTAGTTTTGCCTCTGTATACCAACAAAATTGATTGTAAATCAGGCAATATGTGACTGAAGTGCAGACTTTCAGGCTTAATTCAGTGTTTTGTTCAAATTTTTTATCCTGTGACCTCTATCAAAAAAACAGTTTTCTGGGACACAGGTCCCCATTTTCAAAGTTTCAAAATTGATAGAACTCACTGACAAGACGATGTTGATTCAAAGTGTCTAATCTGTATTTTATAGCTTATCATTGTAATTTAATTTAATTTTAATTATGAAATCAAAGACATGCTAGCGCATGTCAGAGAAGCCATGACTAGGCTGAAAAAATGACTACCTTCATGTTTCCATTTTTTTTCAGAGATCATTGCAGCACATTTTCCTGCTAAATAATCAGATACTTTAGACAAACCAGAAAAGTCAAAAAGGTGGACACATATGGTATATACCTATATTCTTCATTATGATTCCTTTCTACTCACTAATATCAAACAACAGTGGGAGACTGAGTTAGAAGTACAGCTTCAGATGTCTGGTAGAACAAAGTCACCCACAGAATCCACTTAAGCAAAGCTAAATGTTAAACTTCATGCAGTGAATAGAATAAAACAGTCATTGTTTACTGAGTAAAATGTGAAAATACTTTATATCTTTACTAGCAAAAGCATATGAGCTCAAAATGTTTTCTCACAGCTGTCTTGTCCTGGCAGACAGAAACATGCTGAGAAGTTTGCAACTTTTCAGATCCTTACCACAGTGTAGTCTTCACTGCAGGAATCCACCAGTGAAAGAGGAAGATTCCAAAAAGGTGCATCTCTGTCAGTCTCTATATGTCCTTTAGAACAGGTGGTCTTGTTTGCTAACTGACCGTGAAAGATCTGAAAATATAAATGCACAAAAACCTGTTCATTTCATTTTAGTTCAGTTTTAATTAGATTGCACTTGTTCACAACAAAAGTTGTCCAGGGCATTTTATATTGTAAGGCAAAGACCCCACAATTAAAACGTAATATTTTGATCCAGTGTATCGATACCCTTTAACGTCAATGAAGACCTTACCTTTGATGCTTTGGGACTGGTCATTCTTAAAACTTTCTCCAAGTACTCTGCAGCATCACGCTGTTCACCCGCTGTCATAAATACATATTATTTTTTTTAAAAAGAAGTTGTTTTGTGATTTTACCCTACAATTTTCTATTGTTATAATAATTAAATAATTAATAGTAATATTTTATGTATATAGCTTTATTTTAATAAAGCTATACAGTTCTCAAGAGTTTACATTCAAAAAATGAAAATGGGTGGTTGTTACATTTACAAGATCCTAGCTTGTTATGTGAACAAAATAATTTCATGTTTCTAGGTGAACGTAATTAAATCATGTAGAATCTGCATGGAATTCAACAACTTAATTTGTTCTTGTTTTGGTGACAAGATACAATCTAGTAAGAGGGGTTGGTTGCCTGAACTCATGAAATTCACAAGATCACACAGGATTTCAAACCACAGGAAAATCACTGGGGTTATAAGAGGCAGAAAACCAGACACACACCGCGTGTATGCTGTTGCTATTTCTTGTGGTTTAATCATAGCTGTCCTACTTTTTTAAAGCATATGTTGACAGCTCGGTGGTGGAGCAAATTTGCCTCACAGCAACCTCCTGGGTTCAAATCTGCAATCTGACTGAATTTGCAGTGGGTTCTCTCTGGGTATCTGGTTTCCTCCCATAGTAAATTAGGCTAACTGGTGATTCTAAATTACATATAAATGTGAATGTGAGTGTAAATGTCTGTCTCTCTGTGATAGGCTGGCGCCTGTCCAGGGGTGTACACTGAAAAAAAGGCCATGTTGGATTTACTTGATTCAATAGTGGACATTTGTTGCACACAAATGTTTTGCTTTGGCAGAAACTTAAACAACTTAGTTAAATCAACACAACTTTTTCATATTCAGTAAACCTGTGCATTTTGTGTTCCTAAAACGCAATTGAAACATGTTTAGATGAAGTAAGTTGAGCTCTTGGAATATTTTAATCCTTCACAATTTTGTCATTTTATTTCAACACTATTCAATAACTTTTACCCCAGTACTACTTGGTCACTTAAATACTACATGTTGTCTTCATATTACATAATGTTCAACAAAGTCTAGATCCTGGTTACCATAAAAATTGAATGGATTTACAATGACTACCATTCTCCGGGTTGCAGGAGAGCTGGGAAATAACCCTGAAGTGATAGGTTACGAGGCAGGGTACACCCTGGACAGCTAACCACTCTATCACATAGAAACAAACAACCACGTGCACTTACATTCACGGGTAATTTAGAATCACCAGTTAACCCTAACTCTAATAACTGCATGACTTTTAACTGTGGGAGGAAACCAGAATACCCAGAGAGAAACCACTGCAAACTAGCCAGAATGTGGATTTGAACCCAGGACCTTCTTACTGTGAAGCAACAGCACTAACCACCATGCCAACAATCTAGGAAACACAGGAAAGCTGTGATTTCCTGTATTTGATGCAGAATTTTTTTGTTTTTGTCCTTGACAGGTTAATCCACAATAAATAGCAATAGCATGCACGTGGTGTGTGTGTAGTTCTCTGCCTCTTATAACTCCACTGATTTTCCTGCAGTTTGAAATCTTGTGCGATCTTGTGAATTTCATGAGTTCAGCAACTAACCACTCTTACTAGATTGTATCCTGTCATCTCAACAAGAACAAATTAAGTTGTTGAATTTCGTACAGATCCTACATGATTTAATTACGTTCATAGAAACATGAAATTATTGTGTTCAAATTACAAGGTAGACTTTTTTAATGTAACAACCACCCAATTTACTTTTTTTGGTATACCAAAAAAAGTAGAGGTGGCTGCTCGACTTGACTGAGATGGATGCCTTCCTCAAACCACAATCCAAAGAGTGCGAGACTGAAATCCCGTGCAGTGTCGCGGGATTTAACATTGCTATATTATTGACTTACTTCACTTGAACATGATATGAACAATTTAATCTACCCTCTCTGCATATCATGTAGTTTCTACACTATATAGTTACACTTAACTTTAAAGCATGAGGCAATTGTGTTAAATACACGCAAGATGCTTATGTAAATCCAAGAGCTGGCCAATCCCTTTTTTTCAGTGTACCCTGCCTGTTGCCCTATCACATCTGGGATAGACCCCAGCCTCCCTGGAACCCTCATATATTAAGAGCATGGATAGTAGTTTAAAATAAATAGTTTAAAATGTTATGTTAACTAGACTAGATTTTGTTACAAAAAATAACTCAAAACATAAGTCTTTAAATAAACATATAATAATCATGGAAAGGATATCCACATTAATAAATTATTTTCTATTAGCATTTAGCATTTTTGTAGGACTAACGTAATTTGCGAGGGTTGGATCAGCTCGGTTAAATTAAGTTGGACTCACCTGCAGTACATAAGTTGATTCATCATTGTTTAATTAAATTGGTCCAACTCAAGTACATTAGGTTGGAATAACAGAATTGCATAACGCTAAAAAAAAAAAAAAGCAATTTAATCATGTGGAAATTCTTTCCGTGATTTTTAAAAAAATTTTCATTCAAAGATTTATTTTTTGAGTGTACTCTATTTAAGTTTTGTTGTTCTGTACCATTGTCAATGTCCAGCTTCTGTGTTATTTCATATGTGTCTGCTTTATGGTGCTCTAACTTATCAAATAAGTCTTTCAGATCATGATCAAGGAACTCAGTTTGATGAGGTTCTGGAGAGCACCTATACAGAAAGGAAAATGAGTGATTAAAAATGCACAATAGACTTCATATATGATAAATACAGAATCATGCTTAAAGCTGGGCGACAACAAACCTTGTCACAGCCTCTCTGAAGTCTTTAGTCCAAAACAGCACCTGCAGCACACTGTTCAAGTAACATGTGGCTCCTTGGTTTTTCAGCCCATGGTACCTTTTAGCTGATGGGAAGAGAGAATCCATACAAAGAAGATCTATATTTAAAACATTAGTCTGGATCATAAAATACCCAAAGAGAAATAAACCAAAAACCCATTTATATTCTGCATTAGGAGTTTAACTGGGTATTTTTTCAATGTTGATATTACTCTAAAATATCTAATGTGCCAATTCTAGTCAAATTCAGTTGTTTGATGTGATTTGCTGATTGGAAAAAGCATAAGCCAATGTATATAATGAGAGCCAGTAAGTCCAAAAAACTGCCCGTAAACCTCCAAAATAAATTACTTGACCCAAAGATCAGTGCTATTTAAGCCTGGAGCATTGCCAGGCGTTTGGTGCCATCAGTGACTGGTAGTTTACCAGAACAAGCAAAACTCTCTCTGTAGAGTTCAGTATCTCAAACTAGTGCAGGAACGTCTTGATGCATTCTCAATCATCCAGGAAAATAAATCTCCAAAAGTTGATTCTGTTCATCTGGACGTAGCGTATTCTGGGAGAAACGTTTCATCTGTTCATCCAAGTGACTTCTTCAGTCTCAGCTGACTGCAGGATTCCCCAATCTTATAGACAGATTGGGGAATCCAATCTGCTCCTTAAAAATAAATAAACCGCAATGGCCAATGGTACTCATGGCCATTGATCAGTGGTCTTTGATCAGTGGGTTTTGGTCAGTGGTTGTTGATCAATGGTCATGAGAATTTGCATAATTATGATTAAGGAACTGACCTCACAGCCCATTGTTCCTTCAGTGGGCTGGTTTCAGTCATTATGCAAATGTCCTGTTTATAAGATTGGGGAATCCTGCAGTCAGCTGAGACTGAAGAAGTCACTTGGATGAGTGACGAAACGTTTCTCCCAGAATACGCTACGTCCAGATGAACAGAATCAACTTTTGGAGACTAGTGCGGGAAATTTGTTAGAAAAAGAATCTGAACATAACTTCAGATCCTGAGAGAGATTTGTGACTCAGAAATGTTCTATTTATTAAACATTTATGATGATAAGGATGTTGATGAAGGCTAAATGGAAAAAAGCCAGCACTCCAAGTACACCAGTGCTAAAAAAGACAAAAAGGAAACATCGAAATTCCTGTAGGCTGGATAAATATACAATTTAAACAATACGCCTGAAGAGGAAAACAAAAACAAACAAAAAAGTTCTAAATATTTTCTAAAATCTTTGAAATATTTGTTGTAAACCATACCTGTGCCCTGTCCGCTCATTTTCTGTGCCACCATGCGATCACTTCGCTTCTGCACTGCTGAAGAAACTGCTCCTTAAAAATAAATAAACCGCAAATATCAGCGATTATGCTAAAGAACAACTAAAGAACAAAACATACAATCCTTCCTTCCGTTTAATTCAAGGCATTCCTCTGGATCCTTTGGAAACTACTTAATTTATTCTCAACACAAACTGCGACCTGCAGGTCCAGTGAATGTAAAACCCCCGGAATACTTTCGCTTTCTCTTCTGGTTGAGTTGTTGCATGTTGCATTCATGCTGTGCTGGAAATCTCGATATCATCAAATTATTTACAGTTTTCAGAACCCAGTTATTAAAAATGTGAATGAAGAACAACTAATATGTCCTGACTGACAAACACATGTGAATTAACCCAGGAGCTATTAACATGGACTCCTTCACTTTAATGTCAGGATCTATTTTTTTAGTTCAGGACCTGAAATTAGTGTAAGATCAAGTGGGATGCATTTGAAATTTATATAAGATGATGAACACAGCAAATGAAGTAATTGAACGAAACCGGGCGAAAAGTATCCTATGGATTTAATCTTTTTTCATTATTCATCTTTGCACAGTACACAGCTTATAATGTTGCATTTAATATACCTCCATAAGAAAAGATGTGTTATGAAATACATTTATCTCTTTGTCACTTTGAAATTCAACAACTGTTTTCTTCAACAGAATAATTTATATCACATAGTTTTAGAGACAAAGCACTCATTATGCATCTTGCTCATGATGCAGAGAACCTCTGTGTACAAAAGGCCCCGTAGTTACGGTTTTATTCTATTCAGTTGTTAGTTTCACCGGTAGTTTTTTAGAGTGGCCAGTAGAGGTCACCCCACCACTTTGTATGAGAGAGAAAATTGGCAGGGAAACACTTTGTCACAGCACCTGAGTTTTTCTGCTCCAGATTACCTGCAGGGAGTTGGTCATTCCTTGAGAAGTGTGCATTAATAAGC